ACCTGCCAGGATCCTTGTAACCTTCCTCGCAGGCGGAGGAGAACTCGGAAGAACCTTCGAGACCTTACAGGAGTCTCTCAAATCCCTGACAGATTGGGTGGATTTACATCAGCCCCATTATACAAAGGGTACGCTTTTTTCCTACTATTCGGTTGTAACAAAGGAACTGAAAAAATGCCAAAAGGGCGCTACTCCGGAAAGTAGTTGTTGAGGTGCTGTGAAGCATCTTTCAAGCCGTAGTTTAATTACTTACCTAACGCCTATCCCGTGTGTGACCGTGAACCCTACAGGGCAGTTCAAGATGATTGAATTAACTGCAAGCTTGCACCTATCTGAGATTCGACACCAAAACATCTAGAAACTGCTGCGGAGAAGTCAACGTAGCTTTGGTACCCTGAACCCCAAACCCCTAAACACTTAACTGATGGGAGGCCAAAAGGGGGGGTTTAAGATTCTTGTGGTAGGGATTCCATAATATGAACCCTATCATGGGAACCGTAATCCCTACTGAACCCCAATAGGCTAAAACCCCTTTTGGCCTCGTATGAAACCCTTAAAACCTGAACCCCTAAACCCCTAAACCATAAACCCCTAAACCCCAAACCCCTAAACCCCTAAACCCCGAACTCATGAAGCGGCAACAGACCTGAACCTACCGCTGCTGTTGGGTTTGCCCACTTCCGCCTCAAGCCGTCAGCCCCACTTAGGGCCCAAAAAAAGCACATATGCAAAACAAATCGGATAGGAATATCCCATATAAACCCCCCTATGAAGAAGCCCAATAAGGTAGGGAAAACCCCATAAAATGCTTATGTTTATGTGCTTTTTGGGCCCCTAACCACAAGCCCGACAATCCTAACCCTCAGCCCTCACCTCTTGTAGCGGGAGCTACAACCCCTAAACCTTGAGCTTCCCCAAACCTTAAACCCTAAACTTTACCCTAAACCATACACCCTAAACCCGAAACCCTAAATTATGTACACCCTAACAGCCCTGAACCGGAGCAGTCTGCAGCAAAATTGAGACTCTGGCCCGGAATGGATGCCAGCCATCCCCCACTGAGACCTTCCGAAGATGGGCTTACTTGGAGGATCATGCGACTTAGTAATTAAGTGAGGTTATAAGTACCTCAATTGGGGTTATAAGTAGTTATAAGTAGAGTTACCCTAATTATAGCCCTAGTTACTAAGTCCCATGAACCTCCGAGTGGGGTAAAGTTTAACACGGCTTACCGTTTCACGTTTATAGTGTAGGGTAGAGGAGGGTGGCATTAGCGCGAGTGCGAGTACTAATAAGACTCCATTACGACAGTAACAGCTGGAAGGATCTTGGTAGTGTGTACTCCCGATGCAAAGCCCAGACTATGTCAACTAAACGCAACAGCCTTCGCAATAGTATTGTATGTTTTTATTATAGTGACACATAGCGTCATCATGCATAACCATAATTACAAGCCACGAAAAACACGTAATACCCTGCGTAAACCACATAAGCCCGAAATCCGAAGCCCCAAACCGTCAGTGAAACCCTAAAGCCCAACCCTCAACCAAAGCTGAGAGCCTCAGCCCTCAAACTTGAAGCCGCCAACCGAAGTAGTTGAGGGTTTATAAACCCAATGGGTCCTATGTACCGATATAGCAGAATGTAGGGTTTCCATATTGGGAAGTATTCCCCATAACAGTACATAGGACCCTTTGGGAAAGAGTTTCGGGACTCAGTGAGTAGGGCCAGAGAGGATGAGATCACGGTTTCGAGAGCGAGTAAGGAGGGTATTTTCGGGTTGAGGTTTGGGTAGCATCTACGGCTTACGGTTTTACTTCAGAGCTTCAACCCCAAACCTTCCACCCTGAACACCAAACGCCAGACCCTAACGAATCTAGGTTGTCCCTTTCAAGCCTCTGAAAAATATTCGTAAATAGGGTCCTATTAAGCCCAATAAGGGAACATATAAAATATGGGAGTTTCCGAAAATAGGGGACCCGAATATAGTACCCTAAATAGTAGGATCCTTGTTATAAGGACCCCAAAATAAGGTACCCCTAATTATCGGAATCTCCCATATGCCAAAGGCCTACCAACGAATCAGGATGTCCTGCCTCTTTGGCGACGACTTTCACCAACTCTGGCAAGTCGTTCTTGGTTGCATGGGCCTGGACCCCAGAGAGCCCAATACCCCTTGCTTAAGGAATACCTAGGATTCCTTAAAAGGGCTCCTTAAAGGGATCTATAAGGGTTCTACAAGGGAATTAAGGCATATACCTTAAATTGTAAGGGGAGTCATGTTATGATGTAAGCTATATTCCCAAATTAAGGGGTATTGGGCTCTCTGGGACTTGGATGGTTTTCGACAACCTTTCTCAACCAAAAGAGGCCTGACGCGGGTCCAGGATTTAGGGCTCGGGGTTTCGGATATAATTAGGGTTTAAGGATGCGGGCTACTTGCAGGGGCTTAAGGGCTTGGGGTTAAACTTCGAGCCAGTCTCACAACTCGGAATCTCAAAGTCCTACCAGTGTACTTGTGGTTGCAACTACCCGCAACGAGATTGAGGCAGGGCATTAGTTTTGTGTGCAGAGCTTTAGGTTTTGATTGGGTCTTGGGCGCAAGGTTCAGGGTACAGACAGGGTTTCGGGTGAGGCTGGAGTCTTTTCGTGTAGGCAGGTTTCTGGGTGTAATTAGGCATTGAGAATAGCTGAGCTTTTAGGTTTAGGTACGGTTGTCCCCGAACCCCCTAAACCCTAAGCCCTAAACCCTAAACCCTAAGCCCTAAGCCCTAAACCCTAAACCCTGAACCCTAAGCCCTAAATCCTATTCCCTAAACCCTAAACCCTAAGCCCAAACAAAACTTGGGGCGCCGGCGTGGAACCTACCGAGCACAAGACGCCCGGTGTCTTCGTCGCCTTGCGGTTTTGGGGTTTAGGGTTTTAGGACTTGTTTTGTAGGGTTTAGGGTTTTAGGATTTAAGGTTCAGGGTTTAGGGTTTTAGGGTTTAGCGGTTTAGGGCTTTAGGATTTGTTTTGTAGGGGTTAGGATTTAGGGTTGGGGGTTTAAGGCTTAGGTTTCAGCTTCTTGGTTTAGGTTTGGGCGCGAGCGGCGACGAAACACCCCAAATCGTATGAAGAATCTGTTGATTCCCACAACCTTCAAGGCATTTCAACGACTCGATCTTGAACCTGCAACCCTGAACCCCAGTCCGAATCCTACACCCTCGCTGGAATTCTACACTCTACCCCCCCTTCAGGGCCCAGACCTAAATCCAAAGCCTTTGAACTCGATACACCCGTTTGTTTTTTTAGTACACGGCTCCATGAAAGGGATCTCGTATACGGGATTTGTAATACCTTTTTCAAGTTTTTTTGCTTCAGTGGGCTGCAAGCAGCCCGGGTTTCGGAAGCTGATGATGTTGCAGGTTTGAGAAGATTGGGGTTGCGCAAAAGCTGCGTGGTTGCGTCCGCGCCAGCCTGGCACTCGTTCTTTGGATGGCTCGGAATCTGCGAAAGAGGGTGTTCAAAAAAACTCTTCTGGTGTGAAAAAGCCCTCGTCTTGATGTTGCCTCCTCCTTCCAAGCTGTGCGGACTCTCCTGGTCCGTGTCGGCATCGGCAAGTCTCCCCTTGCTCTGAGATGTCGATTTCGCTTGCAGTCTCCTCGAAGCTGCAATGTGAGAAAGTTACCACATGTGTGGTTGTCACAATTAGGGCCCCTTTTTGGGTCCCTATTCACGGCACCTAATATTCAGGGCACCCAAAAAGGGACCCTAATTTTGACAACCACCCACATGTAATTCCATGGTTGAAGCGCCAAAAGCTGTTGGGCTTCCACCTGTCATTCGCTTCCTCGCTTTGGGCTGGTTGGTGTAAGCTTTTCGGGTTGACGGCGTCCATTGGACCTGCATGTGCTTGCAAGACCTTCTTTCCATGTGCATGGTCACGCTGATGTAGGCGCCTGAATAATTAGAATAGGGTTCTGGGGGGTATACTATACCATTAGGAATATCAGTAATATTGGTCGTTATTTAGGCCCCTATATTATGTCGCGCTGGATCTCACAGGACGAGTCCTCCTGGAAGCGCAAAAGCTTCAGGAGCTGCCAAAACAACCTGAGATTCAGCCCCAGGCCCTATGAACCCTGTGCGTGCCCTAAAAGTTTATCAGCCCCAAACCATTTACCCTAAACTCCCCTAAACTCCCTATATTATTAGTTCATGTTAGTTTAGGTTTTTTTGTTGAGGGCTCTTTTCCGACTGCACGTGGGTACGACTTACAGAAGCCTACTTCAGGCGAGCCACATTCGGTTCATCTACGCACCTTCGTTTGCCAGAAGGAAAACCCTATCTGAAGTCGAACCCCAGCCATCCCAGACCGAGCCATGCACATGGTGCAAGGAGCGGAAGATTCTCGACATCTCCTTGCCCCGAAAGAAAAGCCTCACCTGTAACATCCTGTAACATTGCACCAGGAGTAAGCAGGTCATCCGTTTTACACAGCCGAAAATTATGCCTTCAGTCTCACCTTACTTGAAACTCAGTCATGACAGCATGTCATAAACGCATTCAGCTTCACACTCACTCCGCAACGCAGTCATGGGAGCCGATGTGTGGCAGCTTCAGTCCAGACTGATGCGCAAGGTCACAGTTTGTCCCCGGCACGTTTGCCTACCAACCATAAGACATACGTCATACCAGGCCTTGTAGTATCCTCGATTTGACCAGCCTCTCCAGTCACATTTCAACCAACTATGCGAGCCACGCACGGACCACCAAGATCGAAGCCACCAGGGACGTCTGAACCACTTTCCACGCGCCCAGTTTGAAGTGCTCCAGTGAGCGTCATTCCATTCCCACACGTGGCCCCCTTCAGGAGAGCTTCGACCATACCACTGATTGTGAATCGGACCTGCTGTGTCACGACAAACGTCACTCAAGCTTCCGCGAATTCGGCCTGGCAACCTTCGTCCTCAGCTTGACGCTCAACACACATGTCAACCAACTTTCTGCGCAGCGACTTTATCCTGTATCACCCCCAGGCATAAGTCCAGTTTCTGCTCTACCGTAAAGACGGGCTCAACGAACAGCCGGCTGCTCGAAGCCTTAATCAAGCTTGCCCGCTCGCCAAGCAGTCCGCGAATCATGTCCAGGTCCATCTCAACCGGCTGCTCAGCCTCTTCCAGCCCAGGCGGTAAACACGCAGCGGGGATGTGTCCGGTTCCATCCGTCAGGCGAGGAAAGGCACCCTAGGGGACTTTGAGCTTGAGCCTTGGCTTGAGCCAAAATGGCTACGGGGGTTTAGGGTTTAGGAGTTCAATACGTTAAATATACAGTTTTTAAAGTTGAGCGCTGCGAGTATCGATGTGGCGAGATCACTGAACAGGCCCTACTGACACGCACCGTGAAATCCCTGAAGTTCTGAAGTTATGCAGATGCCGCGATCAGGTGCTGAGGGCGCATCTCTCGGCATCGTACTCCACGTAGAAGACGTATCCACGCATGCCTGCGAGCAGGGAGCCACGGGACATTCCAACCTCTCTTGCAGTCGCAGTCGGAGACAGTCACGGCACACTTACGCACCCGAACAAGCACATGAACCCAACGATGAACCTTCGATTCTTAGAGGCGGTTTCTTTGGCTCCCGACTCCCTACGATTAGACACCCGAGCTGGATACATGCATCCATTCCATGTTTATTCGGTAGCAGTTCCGGTAGCCGGTGACCTATCAAACTCATAAGCAACTCCAGACCCGGAAGGATCCAAGAAATGGAGCCCCCCCCCCAAAAAAAAAACGACCTTACGAGTAGACGGGTGAAGACAAGGCCTATTATCAAGGGAGCACGCTTTAGTAATTGGGCCTTGCTCCTGGAACGTTTCAGGCGCATGAGGCTGGGGGCTATCAACCCCTCAAGGGCCCATATAAACTCCCTCAGCCCTCAACCCTGAATTTTTTTCAAAATTTGGAAATCTTTTCTGTGCCCGCCTGCCCCTTTAGGGCGGCACTGGAAGCAAATGCCGGCGCAGCCCGGACCTGGGATGAAGAGGCTTGCTATAAGGGGTTAGGGTTCAGGGCTTCGGGCAGGCCTGTTTACACCGTTTTTAGGGCTTAGGGTATGGAGAAGGTCGTTTTGCAGGGTGTTATTATTGCAGGATTTGGAGTGTACTGTTGCTGCAGAAAGTGGCTCTTTAAGCCGTTACTCTTGCTGCAGGCTTGAGGCGCTAAGCATTAAACCGAAAGGAGGAATAAACGGCTCCAGTGCTGTCTTTTCAAGAAAAAGCAGGGCCTCATACAGCACGTTACATGCCTTTCAGGATAGAATTTCTGCACGGTTCCATGTGGGGCATTCTTCACTCAACCCTCGCATTGTATCCGAAACTCCGAACCTTCGAGCCCGAAGGCGGTGCACTAAAATCCTACAGCCTACAACCCCAAAGCCAAGAGCATTAACACCCAGAAACCAACTGTAGGGTTTAGGGTTTAGGGCTTAGGGTTTAGGGCTTAATTGCCAACCAGCTAAGAACAAAACCTCCACACCCAAGCCCTCAACCCAAAGGCCCCGAATGCTTAAACGTTCACTTTAACCCTATCGAACCCTCGAAACCCAGGACCCCAACCCTCTACTAAACCCTCAACCCAAAGCCCTTAAGAGTAACCTAAGTTCTATAGACCCTTAACCCTTAACAGTAACCTTATAGTTCTACAAATTCTAAACCCTTCACCTTTGAACGTAACCTTAGTCTTATAAACCCAAAACCCCTAACAGTAACCTTACGTAGTTTTATAAGCCCTTAACCCTAAGCCCTGAAAAGAAACCTTAGATTTGCCAACCCTGAGCCCTAAATCCTCAACAGTACTTGGAGGGTCGGGGGACTTAGTAACTGGTTATTTTAGGGACTTATAAGCACCATAACCCCAATTAGGGTCCCTTTTAGGGTACTTAATTATAAGTCTACTTACTACCTACTTACTAAGTCCCCGACCCTCCAAGCAATCTTATGCTCATGATCTGCGACTCGTCCTAAGTCCCTGGCTGTCTAGACCCCGCGTAAGGTTCAGCTCCGCGGCGAACTGCGGCATCCATGTTTGCAGGTTCAGGGTTAGAGCTGCGGAAGTTTAGGGTTTACAAGGTCCCCAGCGAGCCAAAACCCCTTAATTAAGGAATATAGCTTAAACCAAAAAACATGAATCAACTTATAATTTAGGCTATATTCCTTAATTAAGGAGTATTGGGCTCTCTGGGTCTAGGGTTTTTGCTTTGGAGTTGATGAAGTTCAGCGCTTCGGCTTTGCATGGAGTAGCGAATTCAGGGTTGAGTTGCGTGGGTCCAGGACTTGCAGTGTAGGGTTTGAGGCGTTTTTGAGCGTCGGCTTGGTTTAGCACTTTAGGGGGTGAACTGTCAGATCGTCTCGAATGCTGAAGGATTTAGGGCCCTCTAGATTTTCTAGACAGGCCTGAAGGCTGCAGTGCTCATGCAGGGCTTTAGGTGCGCAAACGCTTTCGGCCTGTCGCCGTGGCCCGACTTCAAATCACACCACTTGGAGGGTCGGGGGACCTAGTAACTGGTTATTTTAGGGACTTATAGGTACCATAACCCCCAATTAGGGTCCCTTTTAGGGTACTTATAAGTCTACTTGCTACCTACTTATTAAGTCCCCCGACCCTCCAAGCACACTGCCCCTGCGCAATGTTATGTTGCCTGGCCACATATCACGAAGCTGGAGCAGCCCATCCAAGCACAACCCAAAGAACGTAACCTCAATCCCTAAACCCTGCATAAACTCTGAACCCTTTGCACATCCAGATCCAACAGCCTCTGAACCTGACGGACCCTTAGCCCTGAATTTTAATTTCTGAACACCCTCGGCCCCATTCTACCCCAAAACCAGACCCCAAATTGATAGCCGAACCCGGCAACGAAAAACGAACGACCTCTACGCTCGAGTGGTCCCGCCGCTCCTGATGCTTCAAAAAACTGGGGTTTTGGGCTACAGGTGTCTGAAAGCGAAGCTGCCCTAGTGCTAGAAGGAGAAGAGCGCAGACCCTGAATTGCAAGAGCCCAGCCCCTGTACTGTTGCTCCTGAAGGTTCCTTGTTAACAGTTATACTATAAAGGAGACCCAAACCATTTTCTAAAGATGCTTGTAGGGCAGGGCTCCACTCTCGCCTCGACCTTGTTGCGGTTTAGGGATCTTGGCAGAGCTTTGCACCATGCCCTGTAAGACCTATGACACCGCTGGTCGTAACACAGAGAACCCTCAACGACGACTAAGGAACCGTAAGGAACCCTCAACGAAACCGCAAGACACCCTGGAACCAAAGGACGCCTGATTTTCGAAGAGGAAAAGCCACAAAGGCCCACCCACAAAGGGAACCTGTCAACTCTAAGGAACCCCAGGCCCAAAACCCTATAGAACCCATGAAGGACCCGAAGAAATCCAGCACTTGACCTGCATATGAGATTCCTGGCCCCGTAAAAGCGTATAGTTATGACGGTTTAGGGTCTAGGGCAGTTTTGGGCATACAGCCCTACCAGACCCTTCAGAAGGACCCTGTCAATTTCGTAGTCAAACCCTACCACCAATCCCTTATACAACCTTGTAGAACCCGGTAGAACTACAAAAAGAGTCCCAGTAAAACCTGGAAAAATCGTCCTATAAAGCAGCATACAAGCTAAATACCGAACCCATTCAAAAAAAAATCCTTCCCCTACAGAACAGAAAAAAGCCAAGTAGGGGTAGGTAGGGGTACCGTTGCTTTCAAGGGGAGCCCTGAGAGGTCCTGGTTGTACAGAGACAGTCCCTGGCTCCCGGGATCTGGCCGCAAAGAAGTCAAACCCTGGCAGAGGCGGCTTTAGGCTTTATGGCCTTTCTTTGGGGTTTATGGTTTAGGGGTTTCGAGTTATAAGGTTCAGGATGGTTTAGGGTTTAGGGTTTTCAGGAAGTTACTCTATAAGGATCATGTTGAGGGTCTTGGGGCTTATAAGGTTTAGGATGGCTTAGGATGGGCTAGGGTTTAGGGTTTACATTCGGTTGTTCTAAGGGTTAGGGTTTAAGGTGTTGGGTTTTGGGAGGTTGCTTTAAGGGTCATTTTGTGCGTTTTAAGAGGCGTGTACAATACAAAAGTTTTACAAAGGTGGCGAATAAAACACGGCTGTCTGCACTCCTCGGTGGCCACTCATAGTGGTCCCTAGCTACATGTGGGTAGTTGTCAAAATGATGACCCCTTTTTGGGCACCTAAAAATTAGGCACCGCATTATATTAAGGACCCAAAAAGAGACCACAATTTTGTCAACCACCCATGAAGGATTACTAAAATGCGAAAAGGCTGGGAACACTTCTCCATGTCCGCACGAAAGCAACCTTTTCAGACTGAGAGTTTGGAGAAATCTCAAGTGCAATTCTAGCTTCATCTTGATCACTGAACATGGACTTGGCGTCGGCGGAGCATCGCCGACATCGCAGAAGCTGACTGCTCGTTGTTCGCAGAAGTACTAATCAAAAGCTGTAGGGATATTGGTTCTCCTTATTCAGAGCCCTACTATAGGGGCCTAAATAATTACCAATACCATTTTGGGGTTCCTCATTGAATTTATAGTGTAATGGGCCTATTCTAACTATTAAAGCCCCTGTATTATGTTACGATTTCCGATTCGATCTCCAGGGCTCAAGAGGGCCATCATCGGTAAGGAAGATTCTTGGACCCACACTCAGAGATCAAACATGAAGGACTTTGGTGGCGTAGGGTTTAGGATGCAGAACCTCAAGAACGGCCTTCCTTTACGGTATTAGACACTGAACTTTTCCCTGCAACATGAGCTTTCCTATGCAAGGCTTGACAGGTACTATGCGCCCGCCGAATGCTGGTCACTTCCCATAACCAGCAAAGTGGTCGTACTAACTGGAACAGGGTCTTGTGGTATATTCCGATGTACGTATTCATAAAAGGACTCAGAAGGAAGTGGAACCGAGAGCAGGAACAGTGGTCCCAACCTTGAAACCTAACTTTTACGGCCCTTACTGTGTTCGAACCTCTAGATTAAGCTCGTCAACCCTGATCCGAGGGTCCCACACACGAAGTAGGGTTTGGGGTTTAGGCTTAGGCTGACTAAACCATGAACCCTAAACCTTCACCTGAAACCCTCCCTTCTGCATCGACAGTCGGGGTTTAGGGC